AAAAAGGCCCCAGCTGCGATCTCTTCCGCTCCATGCGAGCTCCCAGAGGGGCTCCCCCAGTCTGCTGGGGAGAGGTTTGGCCACGGGCAGCAAGGGGACAGACACCAAAGTCCAGAGGAGGATGTGAATGTTTAAAAGCTACTGGTTGGGAAGCTTTGAGAGATGAACAGGGAGGTTGAAGATGGTGTTTGAATGGAACAAGAATAAGGCAGGGATGGGGAGAGGAGAGCACAAGGATGGGAAGGCAAATTGGATCCCAGGTGGCATCACGGACCAGTGGAGGGGGCTGTGTTCTGGGGTAAGACAGAGCTCTGGAGATGATCTCCAGAACTGGGAGCTGACTCACACTGGCAGTGCTGTTGTTTGCATCCTGAAGAGGTAAAAGGGAAAGGCATTTATGTGTTTGTTTTAAATTAGTTTGCCTTTTTTGAGTTCGGGAGCCCTGAGCCAGTTCTGTGGAGATGGAATTACTGAGTGCATGTGTGCTGAGCATATGTGAGAGGGGAATTGAATTGCTTGGGGAGGAGTTTGTGCTCTAGGTACAGCAAAGAGATGGGAAAAGACAGACATTTTGGGACTGTTTCCACTAATTTTATGTGAAAGAGTAAAATGCATCGAATTATGCTGGGAGGGGGGATGTGGTACGTGAGGCACTGAGGTGATGCCTCTTCACATGGTAAAGAGCAGCCTATAAAAGCAAGGGCAGAAATGGTAGGATTTTGGCTGGGGGAAGGTAGTTACTGGTTCCTTATTTTGAAGAGGCGACTAAAGGAGGCAAGACAGTGGAGACAAAACTAAAATGAAACAACCTTGCCAACAAAACATTGCAGTCACTGCAACATTCCCATTATTTTCTTTAACAACAAACCCAAAAGGTCAGATTGCAGGACAAGTTTCCCTTCCATTCTCTTCCCTAACCCTTGCACCATTCCTGCCTTTGGTCAGAGCACATCTGTAGAGGGGAAGCTTCTCCTTCCCTGGCCGTGCACAGAGCTGGGTAAGCACTCTGCAGGTCCCTGGTCCAAGGCAGGGGGGGCAGGAGGTGTGTGACAGGCACGTTGTACCTACACTGTTGTCACTGGCAGGCACTGCCTGTCCTCACCTGCAGTTGTTTTGTTTTCCCATTGAATCCATGACAGTGAGTACTTGCCATCATCTGTTCAGGAACCCTCTGAGAGAGAGGCAGCCACAGGCATTAAATGTCACACACCAACCACAATAAACTGGGCAACAGCAGAGGTGGTGTGAACACGGGCAAGTGGCTGCTCCTAAAATCCCCTCCTGCCCAGCTGGTGCATTTGCTGCCTTATCAGTGCCCTTATGGGGATGTGTTTCTTCATGGGCTCTTGCCAGCAATCACAAATAGATACCATTGCCTTTATAGCTGAAGGGAGATGCTGCTGCCAAAAACCCCCAACCAACCCCACAAGGTGAAGGACACGTGTTGGCTTGAGCATGGAGGATCTGCTGGGGAGCATTGTGGTTTTCGCATTTATTTTGCCATTCTCCTGCACTTGTCACAGCTCTTCCTACAGCTCTGATCTTTTTGTCTGTGTTTAAAGATCTTTCTATTCTCTATTTAACAACAGGAGGTTTTAGGTTTAAATGGCACAATGGTGTATGTAATTTATATATACAAAAAAGATAAATTGCTGCTTCTCGAGACACAAAATGCAAGCATTGCTTTGTTGGCTGAATTAACTTTTGTGCTATGTCAGGCGTGGAAGGTATTGTTAGAGATATGATTTTAGTATATAGCAGTACTAAATATTTTATCTTGTTGGCAAGCAGTGTTGTTGCAGGAGGTTTAAACTTCAAAGTGAGCTTTGCTAAAATGCCTTTAAAATAAAAGAAAAAAGAGGTGGAGAGAGAGATGTAAGAGTGACTCGATTCGTGCTGGAATGATTTCACAGAAGGATTGTTATCCACTGAGACACAAGGCTTCTATTTGACCTCCTGCTGACTTCCCTAAACAGTGTTTGTAGGATGTTTAAACACTTAAAAAAAAAAAAAAAAACGAAGGGGAGGGGGGAAGGAAAGCTGCTCTGCCGGAGTGTCTCCGTGCAGAAGAGCCACATCTCCTTTTTTCAAAGTGACACATAGAGAAGGTATTTAGCACTTACAAAGAGCTTGTTGGCAAGCTCTCAGTTCTAGGGACGCAGAAGCGATCCAGGCCCTCTATTTTAATTTGAGTTTTGGTGCCGGGTGTCCCTCTCTGCTCAGAGTTTGCACAGACTCAGCCCCTGGGTCTGGCGTTGCCATCAGCACGTTGGCTCTGCCCCGCGGTGCCGGGCAGGATGAGCTCGGCAGGTGCTGCTGCCCGGGGGCTTCATCCCCTGGGGCTTTGGTGGTCCCTGCTCGGCATCGCCCCGGCAGGAGCCCCAGCTGCAGGGAGAGCATGGGCTGCGGCAGCCTGTGCGTGACTCGGGAGGTATTTTGGGATCTTTCTGGCGGAAAAATGCAATATCATCGTTAAAGAGACTGCTGCGGGATAAACGGTGACTCAGATGTGAGCCGGCAAACGGCGCGGGGAGCTCCCCAGCACAGGGGCGTTCAGCTGCTCCCTGTCACGCTGCAGGAGGGGGTGAACCAGGGCGACAAATTCATTGCTCTGAGCCCTGTTCAAGGGGCAACTCCGTGCTGCCCTCCCCAGGTACCGCAGGTACACGGGCTGCCAGAGGGCTTCAGTTCACACACGAGTTTCCAAATTTTGCTCACTAACAGTGAGCAAGTTCATTGTAAGGCAGTTATTCATCTGCCTGAAGCTGTTTCCATGTGTTTCACCCCCTCCTTGTCTTTTCCTTGCACTCCCTACACTCCATATTCCTCCTGGGCTGCCTTGCTGAAGTGGTGCTTTTAATGAGCTGCTGGAAATGTGACATGATCTGAGGCTGCATCTTGTACCATGGAGGCATCCAGGTCTTGATGCTTTCAGGTCATCCAGGTCATCAGGACTGAACTGCAGGACAGGGAGGGTCGGGGGTGGGATGAGTGTGGAGCACAGGCTATGTGCCCGTATTTTCCTCCTGCAGTGGTCAGAGCACCTTTCCTGTAGGAAGTAGCAGGAGACATCAGTGCAGGAGCAATGCAACTCAAAACTAAACCTGTAGATCAAGGTGAGCCCAAGGGTGGCTCATAAACTAATTACTGGGTTAAGCAGGTAATGCCAGTGGCCCGTGCACAGATTTATCATCACTTCTGCAGTTCTGAAGCACTGGGAGAGAGGAAGTTTTTCCCTTCCTCACCTTGAGGGTACAACGAGGGTTGTGGTGATCAGGAGCTCTCCTCCTCTGCTCTGTCATCTTTAATGCACTTTTCAGGACACACATACACGATTCCCTTCCTCCTGCTTGTTCTGGCGTGACTGAATTTGGGACACTGGTCCTCTGGGAACAGAGCTAGTTTTTAAGCTCTAATAGGCTCCCTGTCGTCACCATTTGGGACATCTCAGCAGCAGAAATGGGAAGTGACCTTAAGCAAGGAAGAAGGTAACTGCACAGTTTAACCCAGGGCAGCTGTGCCTCTGCTGTGTCACTCTGGTTGTGGAAGGAGATGTTGTCTAGAGCTCTAGACATCATCTGGAGCTGATGCAGACCCCAGTGGGATTAATGGAAGGACCCTCATGGTTCTGCACAGGGGCATTTGGGAACCTCTGAAAGGACTGCAAAGAGGTGCTGGTGGTGGTGCTGTGTTGTGAACTAGAATCTCCACAGAGGCCACTTCCCACGGTGACAGATCACATCATGTACGATCACATGGTGTGACATGAGTTGTGTTTTCTGGATTTTACCCAGAGAAGAGCCCATTTTTCATTTTTTTGTGCATGCTTGGGAGAAAGCAAACTCTTCACAGGGTGGTTTGAGCTGCAGGCAAAGGAGTTCAGCTCTGCAAGGCCTTTGCCCAGGGATTTTACATGGCAAAGCTGAGCGGTTGCACCTGGCCGTGGTGGTCCAGAGCACTACTGGAAGTAACATGACTCTGTAACTCAAACAGAAATGCTAAAAAGGTAAAAATTTTTGGCATAGGTTAAATATTCAACAAAGAGCTTGATCTCTGCTTGCTTTGGCAAACAAGTACATCCCCAAATGAATCAAACAAGTTGTAATACAGAACAAATTGGAGTAGTGGAGGATTTGTCTCAGACGCTTAAAATCATATTTTATCCCCTGCCTTTATATTACCATCTATTCAAGCAAAAAGCATGTTTTGAAATCCTGATGGGAAAAAAAGCTGAGCACGTGTTGTTTATTCCTTCAGTGCTGTGGTATGGTCTTGTATTTCTGTCCTGTGCTCTTTTCCAACCTTAGAGCAACCAAAAAGATAGCTGGCCAATGTACTGTACTCAATTGCTGTATATTTTACACCCAAAGATTTGCAAAAATTATTTTAAATTAAGCAGGGTACAAAGTTTTTCTAATTTCTAGCGCAGAGAATTCATTTTCAATTCCTCTATCAAAGCAAAATGACAAATACAAAATGCAAGTGAAACCAGATGGACTAACTATATTAGGAGCTCTGCATGCATATTTTGTGTCACTTATTAGCATTCATTAAGTCAAACATGGGGAGAAATAAGCTTTGCCTACATGTATTAAACCAATAAGGCTGGCAAGGATCCAAGCCTGCTCTCGTGGATTAATTGTTTTATAACTGCTTTAATTAAAATTGTTCAGTATATGATTAACCTAAAAGTTTTAATTTCCACAAAATTGTTGAACAAATGAGACATTAATATTTTACATTAACTGTGGAGAGTGTGCTGTGGTTCTCTGAGCAGCTCACACTAAACCTGAGGCGAGTGGCCTTGTGGAAGGAGTGGGGGGTTGGCCCCAGGTGCCCCCCTTGGGGTGAGAGGCTCATGATTGAGCAGCATGTTCTGGAAGGTTCTGTGCCTCCCTCCATTGTGATGACAGGGGAGCATAGAATGTTCTCTGCTTCCGTTGACAGCTTCCACTGGGGCTGGTGCCATGGCTTGTCCCACAGGGAGGGTGGCAGTGCAGCAGTGAGGCAGGAATGAGGGGCTTGTCCTGGGGGTGCCTCTCCTGCCTTGGCTGTTCTGGAGAAGCACATGGGCTTTACCAGCCTGGATCTGCCCACATTTGGAGAGCTGCCCCTGTGTGGGGGATGGACAGCAAAGAGGTGATGGCTGCAGTGATGGACAGAGCCAAGAGGTGATGGACACAGTGATGGACAGAGCCAAAAAGTGGTGGCTGCAGAGCAGCTGCAGCAAGGAGGTACCAGAGGTGTGGGCACCATTGCTGTGCTGGTTCCCCTGTTGTCAGAATCACCTGCAGCCTCTCTCTCCTCTGATCAGGGGTGCTGTCTGGTTGCTGTGGACTGCTAATTATGAGCTTTTGCCCCTGTTTAATCACCCAGTTTGTCTTACAGACTGACTGGGGTTTTAAGAGGTGTTCCAGCAAAATGGGCATGAAATGCCAACGAGAGAAGTGGAGATTTTGGGCCAGCTACTGTGGGTACCTCCTAAAGCTGTGCCAAGCCCAGGTGACAAGCCCAGGTGACCTCCTTGTGGTGTGTGCTCTGCAGTGGCTCTTCTGCAAATACAGAAGCTGTTAAATCTTCAAAGTGCCAAACTCCTGTTGGGGCACAGCACTTGGAGCTGTTGGGTTTAGGCAGAAGAAAAGCTGTGCTGGAGCCTGATGGGGCTCAGGTCACCTCCACCAACCATGGGATTTTTGGAAATGCAAGAAGTCACGGTTTTCCTTGTCTTAGCTGGAAATCTGAACTTCCCGTGTTTATGTTGTGTGATGCCTTTCTGAGGTGTTACCATAGCAGAGAAGGGGGGGCAAGTGGTGCAAGGGGCCATGTGTTGTGGTGTTGGGATGTGCTGGGGAGATCTGCAGCTCACTCTGCCCAGGCCTCACCTCCTCCTGCTGTTTCATCTGGCAGCGTGAGGTGCCTTCAGGGTGTGGATGTGCTGCCATCCCAATGGTTTATCTGTTCTACTGGTACTGGAAGTGTTTTGACACGTGATATTGCAGGCAGACGGCAGAGCTGGGCTGCACCTTGGTGTTCTCCTTCCAAAAACCAGCTGCATCATGATCTGAGCTCATGGCTCTGTTAGAGCTCATCACAAAAGTATCACTGACTTAAGTGGGACTGAGAGTTCATCTCTAAATTTACTTCCTTGGGGTCCCTTTTGAGGTGGCTGCTGTGCTTGCAGCATGGGCAGCATGGTGTCAGGCCCCCCAGTCTGTGGGACTTCTTGGGGGGGAGCAGCCTCCTCACCTGATGAGGGAGAACTCCATGGGTTCTTGGTGGTAGCTCATGTCTTTTGCTGGTGCTCCTTTATGAACTGGCATTGGGGAAAATAGTCTTTATATTGATGGCCTCTGTGGTCCCACAGTATGCCAAAAAAGAGACTTAAGTGAAGTCCTGGCTATGCAGGGTTCAGAACTTCAGCTGATGTTGCTGGAAATATTGTGCACAGCCATGAAATCTCCTGCTGTTGGGTCCTCTTAGAAGTACTTTTGTTGAAATGTAGTTGCCTCCAGTTCAACAGTATTATCTGGGCTCTGAATGTGCCATAAAGTATTTTGCTTTCTGATTCTCATCGAGGCTCTGTAGGCTTTCCAAAGTGAGCATGCAGAGTGTCTGCCATTGCTTTGGAACATGGGAATTTCTCCTGGTGGGAGGGTGGCTGCAGAGGGCTGGCTCTGTTCCCCTTCTGCACCTACTCCTGGCATCGCTGTTAAAACTTCATATGGCTTAGAGTTACCAAGATCTGGGGTAAACTGAGCAGCTGGCCACAGTTTGCTAGGTCAGAGAGGGCAAGGAAATCCTCCTAGTGTTGGCAATGAATTTATAAATGCTGCTTATGTCTAGATTAGGTGGAACTTGGGCAGAATTGTTGCTGTTCATTTGTACTTCAGTTTTAGGATATTTGGATAAGCTTGCAACGTTGAGGAAATGAAAAATGGAGGGGTTTTAAAGAAAGTCTGTGAGGGTTATCTAACTCAGAGATAGATTTTGGTTCCTGTAGGCTTCCTGGAAGAACATACGGAGGGTGTGTACACACACAGAAACATATGTGCTATGTGCTACTCTATGTAAATACAGCAGTTTCCCTTTCTGTCACATCTGATGAAAGATTTTGTGTTGCTGAATCAAATAATACAAAATTATAAGGGTAATGACCAGAGTTTTCCATGGCAGTGCCTGGAGGTGTCTGTTGTTCCCTGCTGCTGTACATACCAGGCATTGCTGGAAATCAGGCACAGCTCTCACTTGCTAAAGCCTGAGATTAGTGCCTTTGGGCCCTGGATCAATCTGGAAAAGTCGATCTGAGAAACTAGCTCTGAGGTAAATGTTCCAGTAATCGACCTTTCAGGGTGCACATGGGGGATTCGAGGACAGAGCTCAGCTCTGCTTTCCTGCCTTGTCTCTGGGGGAGATGAGGACACAACTCCTGGTGAGGTGTCCCAACTCCTAAATCCTCGTGTAAGGCTGCTGTGGAGCTCTGCTCTCTGTTTTAGGCTCTGGAAAACACCTAGCAGCAGCCTCAGGCTGGGTGTGCTGTACCAGCAGTGCCAGCCTTGGGAACCAGGCAGGGCTTCTCTGCTTTTGAAAGGTGAAAATCACTGGCCTATAGCCCCACTTTGTCACAGAAAGAGCCAGAGCAAAATCGTGTAGATATAAGAAGTGCTGATTTCTGGCAGGATGAGCTCTGAATCCACCAGTCCATCTGTAAGGGCTGAAGCCAGGTGTGAATCCTGTGTGGGAGATCCTGGGCAAATCACTGGGAAGTGCAGCATTAGCTGTGAGGCAGGTTGGCCTCAATGCATTGTCAGGGGCTGTTCCCTTGAGGAACAACAAGGCTCCTGTGTGTTGGGCTCCTGCAGTGTGTTAGCTGTGAGTGCAAACAAGTACTGCTCCACTGTCCGGAGAGGAGAAGGAGGAGAGTGCTAATTCCTTCTGCCAGAGCCAGTTTCTCCGGGGACATTAATTGGAATTTCTTCCTTGCTAATTTGAATGCTGGTTAGTGTTGAAGGGATTTACTCTGCTCTCAAGGCTAAAAGGCATTGAGGAATTTCTGGTTCTAAGTGTTGCCCAGCTTGCAGAGCTGCCCCGAGGCCACTCCCTTATCTGGGGAAGCTGGGGCAGCTTTGCAGCCCTGGATGTGGTGGATTTGTGCCTTCCCTCGGAATCGTGGGGGGTTGTGCTTTCATGCCCCTCTGATGTTAAACCCGGTGTCTGAAAAGGAGTGAGGCAGGGCTGCTGAAAGCTGCAGTTGGGATTCCTGGAGATGTGAAGTGGTTGGAGTGTCTGTCCCTGCCTTGGAGACCAGTGGAATGCTGCCACACTCCCTCCCTCCCTCCACCAGTGCCAACCTTCCCCTGCAGAATCTGTTCGACAGCTCCCAGCGCACTCGAGGATTTGTGGAATCCTCAAGATGATGAAAAGCAAATAAGAGGAGTATCAGAGCATTGTCTTCTATACAGCAAGAGATGTTGAAGTGCCTCTGTGGAGATTCTCAACCTGCCTTTCATGTACAAGGGCTGTGCCTGTGCTCTTTTCCTGTTATGCCCTTTCCCTTGTGTTGCTGTACAGAGAGGTAACTGCAGTCTGTGGTGAGGAAGATGCAAACCCAGTGCATCTCAGCAAGTTGTTGTGGTTTGGTGTTATTTTTTTTTAAAGCATATTTTCAGATTTAAGACCAACACTTCCATTAATTCACAACTTAACCTCTGCTGCTCCCCTCTGAAATAACAGTATGTCTGTGTGGAGAGAGCTGAAGTGGATTCTCCAGACTGTACTTCACGGTATCCTGTGGGGGTTTAGCACAGCACAGGCTTCCTGGCTGTAGGTGGGTTTGGTTGTGCAGGGAGTTAAACCAGCTGCTCTGGAGAGCTTTATTTCGTAGGAAATGCCTGATGATGTTTGATGAAACCTGCCCGGGACATGTCCCGTGGCTTGGTCGTTTGTGTGGGGGTACTGGGAGGTGGATCAGGGGCAGAGCCCTGGGAGAGTTTGGTGTTAAATGCTGCAGATACTTCTGACGTTTGTGGTTGATCTCCCCCAGCAGCAGTGCCCGGCCACCAGGAGGAGGAGGTGGCCTGGTGAGCTGCACAGGTCGTGCCACACTCAGGTCCTTTTGGAAATACATTCCAGCAGATCCTCCTGCTGGTTCACCAAATCTTTCTGTAGGAACGGGGTGGGGGGGGAAGGAGCACTGTTGTTCTTTGTAGGATTCGTTTTTGGACCTATTGAATGACTGCACTGATGACCCACCTAAGAAAGGAAAGTTTCAAGAGATAAAGACCTTCCAGCTCTCTTCCCTTTAACTGTACATACTTACACAGTATATTCCCCTCCTGGATTTACTGGGAAGTCCAAGTGGAAAGATGAGTATGCCAGTTTATTGAGAATCCTCCTTCCTCATGGCTGTGGTTTGTATTTTGTTTTTAATGTAGTACCCCGATCTAATTCATTGGTAGCCATCACTTGAAGATTGTTGACATTATCCTCTGACAAAATATAATGTGTGGTTAATCCTATTTCCTGCAATCAATATGGTAATAGTAATTAAGTATCTGAATATGAAATACTTATGTTGTTTATTTTTGAAATCGCACAAACTTCCTGCAATTAGATACATAAAACTAAATTATTTAATATCAGGAATTGAATCCAAGTCATCTGCGCACTAAAAAACCTTGTTTCTATCAAGACAGCAGTACTTGGGTTTCTAGTAGTTGTGTTTTATGTGAGTTTTCATGAATTTTCCCAGTGATTTTTCTGGTAATCTTTCACCATCAAAGATTTAGAATTATTATAGGCCAGCTCTTCCAGTTGTGGAGTTAGAATCCAGGCCAGTCCATACAAATGGGCTGTACATCCATTCAGAGCCCTCTTTCCAGGGATGCCGTATTTTCCACCCTGGTTGGTGTTTTGGTTCTTGAGTTCTTGCTTCTCTTTATTCAGCCCAAACTCTGTTATTCAGTTCATTTTGTTCCTGACAGGTTTTCATTTCCTTTATAAATATATAGCATTTTCTTTGGCCTCTTGGCTGTGAAAAGGATTTAATACATTGCTTTCTCCACACTTGCTTTTTTTTTGTTACTATCAAAGGCTATTCTTTCTTTTCCCTGTCCCTTGAATAATCACTGAAGACAGTAAGGGAGTCTTTCTCCAGAGCTGCATGCTTGCAATA